AAAGAACTTGTGTCGCTAAAGTTTCGTCGGAACGAAGTTACGGAAAGTTAATTAACAAACGGAGACGTAACAGGTGTTTTTAAAAAAGCTTAAATTTAGCATACCTTTCCAGCAGAATAAATAAACATTGTTATTATGTTAAACATGTTTTAAAACCATAATAATGCTTTTGTTTTTTTCTACAGAAGAAAAGTAAAATTAAAAGTGGATATAATGCTCACAAAAACACTAGGGCTATAAACAATGATGAGTCTTAAGTATGTTTTAGGTCCCAGATCATAAAAACGTTGTGTTAAAATTTGATTCTCAAATTTGCTTTTTTTCTGCATTAAATATATGCCCGATTTAGGCTTTTAAAAACAAAAAAAAATCACACAAACCCTCCTGAATTTTAACCACATTTAATTTTGCTTTTCTGTCAGAACACATTGCTCCCCAGTAGCACAGCAGTATGTCGATACCCGTGGTGGGCAGAGCACAGATAGTCCATTGTGTAGCTTTGTGCTTAATTACAAACAAACTGTCAGAAAAACCCCTGGTAGGTCAGAGGTAACTTTACGGACTTACAGAGCTTGGTTCGATTCATCTTGGTTGACAGAGCGTAGATAGCCTATTGTGTAGCTTTTCATTTAAACAACCATTCTGAAGAGAAAACAAAACACAACACACACACACAAAACAACGGGACGTACGATTTCTTCTTAGAAACATTGTCACCAAAACTATGACATATCAGTAAGCTGAAAGAATTCACCCTTGCTTTCTGAGTGTTCATTAAACGGGGAAAATAAATATTGACTTTCAACCAAAAGTTATTAGATAAAAAACAACAACAACGACACTGTAATGAGTATACCTAATTCAGTGTATTATTCTTACTTTATTACGTATAATGATTAGAAGGCACTGTTTCATTAGTTTGGTATCCTTGATATTAATAATATTTTGGGCCATAAACCCAGTAATATCTCGCGAGGTTCGTTCAGCTTAGGAAAGTTAAGGTTAGTCCTTAATCCAAATACCAAGCTACCTGTGCAAAATAATCCCTACGATAAAAATACAATAAGAAAAACATCAAGAGTAGATATAATAAACATTCAACCAATACTGTTGATGATAGCATCATTAGTGGATGTTTGCCTGTAGAAACGTCACGAACAATGCTGTTATGCTGCGATAAAATTATACCCATGGGTCTTGTAAATGGTTTATTGCAGTGATTCCCAACCTGTGGTCCTCGGACCCCTGGGGGTTCGAGAAGATAATACCATCTCATTAAACAAGTATTTTTTTTTAATTTTGCTGTTCTTTTAATTGCAAACTCAGTTATATACGTCTTTTATTTGATAGTGAAAAATGAGAAAACAAGTTAATTATTATTAAGAAAAACAGTTTGTTGGGTAGATGGAATCTTTCAAAAAACAGGGTCCGTGGGGAAAAAAATAATAATAAAAGGGGGGTCCTTGGTGGTGAAAAGGTTGGAAACCGCTGGTCTATTGCATTCTGTATGAAATACAGTGAGGGAACTGTAATATACATCAATTTGTTAGATGTTTCTTTGAGCTGTATTTCAACATTTATTTTAAGCAGTGCATTTGTAGACCCTTAGATGGCAGCACTTATTAAAATATAACCCACTGTAACTCAAACTGGTTGCTGGGACTCTACCACTAAATGGAATTTTACTGTTGCCCATAATGCATCTTCTTCATTGATCTTTGTGTTTATGTGTGTGTGTGTGTCCCTGATTTAGGCTTTTCCAAAAAAAAATAAAGAAGAAGCACACTCACACAAACCATCTGGAATGAGTAAGATTGGTAACAAAATCTGGAAAGGGTCATATTTTATTGTAGCCTATTCGTCAATGGGCTACAATGGTTCACAGGTGTCAACACCAAATTATGCGACATTCACGTTCATCTTCAAACACTCAATTTGAATAAGATATAGTAACTGTGCAAACCAAGATGACTGAAATCATTGTCATGCTTTTAAACTAATTTCAGACAACGTAAGCACAATGGATTGCTTCATCCTTGCCTTGAAAAAGTATTTGTCCTTCAGGGTGGAAATGCAAAACCATTAAATTAGCATGGCTGGTAACAAGATTCGTGTACCCTCTTAATATTATTATTTTTAAAAAGATTACAAGCAGGTTCAAAATCCTAACCATGCTTTCTTAGACGCTGGTGCACAATTCGTAGTGCCCCCCCCCCCACAACCTTAGTAGGTATATTGTGAAAGCTTTATATACATACACAATTATTACAGATACCTACTTTCAGTTCCTAAGGCCTACACAAATACTTCCAGATGAGGCACGTGACAAGCTAGATGTATTTCGTTATCAAAAAATGGTTTACAATAATGCTGCAGTTACAAGTATCAGCTGTAAAGTTAAATCTTATGTATTCAGGCTAGTTCCCGTAGAAGAGTACTGCAGGGAAATTGATAAAGCACGTTAACAATTTTTATCAATAAACAGCAATAGCGAAAATTAAGTGGTCTGTCAAATTCTTTAGTCTCTAGGTAATTGCTCCAGCAGCCCCAGCTATATTTAGCTCCTTATTACGATGAAGCACCTCATATTATTATAATCATTATTTTACAGCTATGATAAAGGTGGAACGTAAGTCATCAAATCACATCATTCTTCACAGTTATGTTCAAAGCACTAGTATTTTTCTGTTTACATCTGATATAAATTGCCTCTGTACTGAATATCGACTGTATTTATGTCCATCACATAATATTGTTCGAGATAATTAAATACTGAACACCGTAGAAAGAATATGGGCCTCAGTCTGATGCTTATTATACTTTAAAGATACGTCCAATCTTATTTTTTATTGTTATGATTTTTGATGGTCTGCAACCAGCAGCTAAAGGACAGTTCTTCCATTCAATTGCTTCTTTTGGTTTATCTTTCAAAAGCTACTCGAGGAAAATCGTCGATAATGAAGCTTCTGCTAGATATGCAGATTTTTGCTCATAATCATGGTCTTGCAGACTAAAATGATATGCCAACGTATCCACATTAACAGGTTAAATGAATCGTTTAATATAAGTTACAAGACCAGAGTATTGCGCATGAGCAAATATATTCAGCATTCTTTAAATGAGTATTAAAGGAATATTAAGAAAAATTGCAGTCTTTCAAAAACCTCTATCTCGCCAAATATTGGAAGTACCTCACTGTCAAATCGCTTTAACATAAATGTAAAAGCAGAAACATGAAGAAATATCTAGCAATGTTTCGGTAATTTTTTAAATAAATAAGGTTTAGAATCTGTACTATGTGTGCTATATTAAAAATGTTCTATTTAACATTTTTGTATTAGATTTTAATCAATATCGCAATTGTCTATTTTATTTGTGTCTTCAACGACTTCCGTTAAAAAATTATTTTTGCTTAGGTGGCGTACAAGAGCGTAAATCATTACACCTGTTTTTATGTCGTTGCTCGGATACGACTTGTAAACAATGTGAGGATCTAATACTCTGAGCACCACTAAGTATTGAAACCATAGTGTTTTAGTCTGTGTGTTGCCAACCTTTATTCATTTCAACAGTAAGTCGGAACTATTCTTTAAGCTTATTTTAAATTATTTTGCAAATGTCACAATTTAAAGAGAGAAAGTATGCTTTACAAAATGATCATGATGAGACAATTTACGATCTTTTGAAAATAAAACTAGAAGATAACGACCAAGACCAAGCTCAAGAAAACGCCAAAGAAAATAGGCTTTCAAATCGGTAAGTTAATTAATCTATTTTATTATTCAATTTTTAACAGTTTCAAAAACACGTTTATACTGATGCAAAATTACCACACAAGAAGTGGCATAACTTATGATACATAATAGTTTTGTGGATTTTCGGAATTTATGTATTGCAGAGGTACTTCATTTCCTCGTGTAACACCTATGTATATATTCTCTATAGAAACGATTATAAAGTTAAGACCTTTTTAAATCCTTGAACTTTTAATATATTTATCTGCCATAGTAATTCCCTATTACCCACAATCAACATTCCGTTTTGCTATAAGTTTAAGTACTTAATTAATAGCATTTCAAAAATTTTCCCATTTCAAAAATATTGAGAAAAGGATATGAATTTTATGTCCCAATATAGCACCTATATATCAAAGTACAGAAAATCTGTATTACAAGAAAAGAAAAAAGGGAAAAGTTTACGAAAAACTATGGGAGAAGCTGAAGTTTCCCTTAGCCCTCCAAATGAATACTTGAAGAAACACAAAAAGGAGCCATGCTTTGGAGAAGGTATGTATTTACACTTAAAAACTAGATTTTGAATATCATTATTATTATTGAAAAGGTCTTTCATATCTAAATATAGGTTTGTTGAACAAAAACATAAAGGCATGTGTATATCTTATAAGACTTAAAGATTGCAGCATGCATACCAATCAGAAGTTATATATCACAATTGAGGGTTTACCTTTCACATGCTGTTTTTCTCTCTAATTCTAAAACAGACAAATTATAAGCATTTTCTCAAAATAATTTTTTTAAACTCGTAATGTTAGAAGGTAATATTAAGGCGTTTAGAACCCACAAGAAAAGGGGTAAGTTACCTTGAATTAAAACATTTTAATTCATTAATATAAAGTAAAAAACGTGGTATAAAATATTTTACTATTTGTATTTTAAAATATTAAAGTGGTTGCGTCTCATTACGTTTTTTATTGTTAAATGAATATTAAGAAAAATTTTATATAATAGGCAATTTTAAAATAGTACCCTGATGAAAAAATATTTAAGTATATAAAAATAATAATTTTTGCCATCTGCCTGTCTGGTGTCATGACATCACAAGATATGTCAAGAATCGGATAAAACAATTTCAAATAAAATGAGTAGAGGTTATCAGGTGGATCCCTCAAAGACTGAATTTAAATAGATAAGCAGTCAGATGAACAGTTCAAGTTTGGTGGCCAATTAAATTTTTACTGTCTGAAGCCAAATGAAAGTGACAGTTGATGACCATGTAGTGTGGTTACCTTTGTTGATTGCCCATATTCAGTTGACCTGCACGGTAAATGATGCTCATACACATTTCCTGCCATCCCTGTAAAAAGCCAATCAAATTAATGCCATACAAGGCATAAGATCATTTGACAGTCACAACTGATGGCAGTTCTTAATGAAGGTGATGTAGTCTTTTCTACACTGCTAATCTTATCCAAATCTCTTCCATTCCCTGCTGTTTTGGGGCCATAAGCAACTTTATTGATGGCTTTTACATAGCCAAAAATACCATTTTCTTAACCATAGCATGGTTATCACAAATCAGATTTAGGGTATGTGGATGTAAAAATCAACATATCTGACTAATTCCAGAAAAGACCTAGGGGGATGTAGGTCATTCAAATTGCTAACATAAATTCAAAGCAAAGTACAAATTATTAACTTGAAAAATAACTTTAATATCTGACTAATATTATAACTGTAGTTTTTATAACTAAAACAAAAATTAAGTCCAATATTTATATTCAGAATATATATTAACTCTCAAATATTAACTTTATTTATTATTTATCAAATGTTTCATGAAGTATCTTTACTCATGTGCTGAAATACAAAACAAAATACAATATATTGAACCTAATATAAATGACCTAGTTCTCCACATACATGGTTTTGCCAACATTTTTTATTGTGTTGATTTTCAAGATTTTTCTGTTCAAATGCACTTCTCTGTAACAGTTTATCATGGCTCTTGTTGAACATATGTAATTGTTATTTATAAAGTGATACGAAACAAATTCATAGATTATTCAGCAGAATTACATATTATTGATTTTAAACTTGTTATATTTGGTGACAAAACTAGTAATAATCAAAGTCCTGTGAAATTAAACAATGATGCATTTCATTATTTTTTCACTGTAGTAATGTGTTTTAAGTACCCTGATGCTGATCAGCGTCGACCACCTGTCCCAAAGGTTTCTGAAAAACCTCCCAAAATAGAAAAGTCAGATAAAGATTTTATCAAAGAAAATATTCAAGATATTTTACATGCTGCACCAAGACAACCAGAGCCTCGTTTAGTGGATACATGTAAGGGGAATGTTTTTCCTTTAGAAACATCTGGTTTGGTTCCTAAGTATATCAACAAAAAGGTAAATGTATGAAAATTTTTATGGAATACTCACTTGCTTTAATATTTTTTGGTACTGACTTGTTTGAAAGCAAAAACTATTACTAATTGTTGTATTAAAGATTTTCGGAAGAGTCAGTAGACTACAACATTATTATTATTATTACAATACTTTAAACAGACAGTACTTGTAATGTTCCTTTGTTGGTAGTAAAATATGATAGTGTGGCATTTTCAGTTTAAAATATATATATTTACCAACAAGTGTCAAATATAATTTTCTTCAATAACAGCAGAATATGACCAGAAAAAATCATAAGACTTCTTGTGATTAAAGGCATTTGGACTGTTTATTTTGTGTGAAAGTAAACAAATTGAACAAACTAAAATCTGTATTCACAAAAAGAAAACTTGAAATGTGTACCCAAGTATGATGACAGACAGTCCTCACTCCAAGTTATACAGTGGTTAGTTCTAAAGTCTTCCTTCTCACAAGATAAATTACCTGAACACTAAATGCTGAACAAACTCTAGAAGCCTTCTCTGAGCAAAACCTTAGAACAAAAATGCCTGGATTCCAAACATCAACTTGCTATAAGTTTTAGTTATCATCATAAGTTAGCCAGGAAAGGAGATTCCACTTCTAAATAGTTTAAACCAGGCTCAAGATACACAAAGAAATATCCTTGCATACAGAATATACCATCCAATAAAAGGTTGATGTGCATAGAACAAGATATGTGTTGTAACAATGACAGTGTGGAAACTAGATAATCAATTATTTAGAAATAAAATTAAAAGAACTACACTACTATAGATGGTAAGACACATGGTATGCCTGCATACTGCAACAGCACCTGTAACATTTTGACAATAATAGTCAGAATTTGACAGTAATTACAAATACAATTTTCCTGGTGCTAATATTGTACAACATTTAATGTCAAGGCTCAGTTGATTAATTGTACTATGATTTCCAGCTAGCATTAAGAACTTAATAATCAGAACTGAGTCAATTGATAGTAATTATAACCAAATTTAATTTACAGAACTAAGAAATACTTAATTATTGCATTATTAATATTAAACCTAGTTAGTTCTTTTGAACATTTTAGCTGGGATAAGTTTGTATGTCTATAATACTCAAATAGTGGTATGATACCTAGTTAAAAGAGTATTAATAAAAGAATTATTCTTGCAAAAGAAACCTGTTTGCTCTTGTCAGATAACAAATCCCATGCAATGGTCAATAGCTTTATCCACACACACACATTACTCTTCTATAAGAAAAAGGTATTTGAGATTGACTTTTCAGCTAAGTCTTAGCATAGTAATAACCATAACATGAAACAGTTGCTTACATTGAATGTTACATCCAATACCATAACCATACAGTACACACAATAAATCAACACCAGGGTGTTTCTTGCATCTAAAAATGCATAAAGCTTCTAATGGAATGGATTGCATTCTCTATTGTTACCTGACTGAGTTTATAAGAGCTGAAATAACTTGATCCTGCAGTTTCATTTGATTATCATATGGAATTTGTTACCCAAAGTATGTTTCCTATTAAAATTACATTACATGAAAGTGAAGAAAGGCCAATTAATACATCTAATTGTAAAGTTAGACAACCTCAAACATTTTTGCTATGATGCAGAATATATTAATTATTAATTTTAAATGTCACAGTCTCAATTGTAACTTTCAATATTAAGGTTTGGTTAATATCAGGGCCACTTAGAGCTTGTGCCCAGAGAAGGATTGGTATGTGCATCCCTTGTCTCAATCAATTTCCCCCACAGTAACAGTAATGGTTAATGCTTGTAGTGACTCACAGTTCATTATTCACAAACTTTATGCAATCACTCATTCTATGCCTTGACCAAAAATATATCATCTTGCATACTGGCTCAACTTTTTTGTGATAAACTTGCATTAAAGTAAGGTAATATTTTGATGTGTAATATTTATACAATTCTACACTGCATGATAGGCAAGAAAACAAAATAATATTTTTAGAATTTACTTTTAGTCCAAAGATTTATGAAATCGGTAAATAATTTGAATCATTTGAAATATTTTTCTTATTTTAGAAGATCCATTGTCTAAAATAGTATGTAGTTTTTGGTTATGATATTTTTAACTTAAAAAACAAATCTAAAGTGCCAGTTTATTTTTAAATACAAAGTATTCAGTCTCTAGAACTAACACATACTTACAAAACCTGACAATAATGAAAACTTTCTTCTGTAGGAAGAGTTTCTTTGTAAATAATTTCCAGTACAGCTTATATCATTTGCAATAAAGCACTGATAGATGTCTCATCTCTTGCCAGTTCTCAAAGCTTTTTATCAAGTCATTATCCATGTACATAACAGTAACTTGCACACACTCAGGTTCTATATAGAATATTTTATAAGCAAAGAATAACTCCACAAATGGTACATACAAATGCATATGCTCACTGTCCTTACGATGCATGACTAACACAAACTCTTATATTATAGCATTGAATTAAATTCTTGTTGTCTTATTAGTAAAGCAGATATTTCATAAATTAATGAAGTGAGTTTTTTTTGTTCAATAAAATAATAATTTCCAATATTCATATTAAAATAATAAAATATTTGTATTGCAGACTATAATACTTTATGTTAAAGTATAAAAAGTATAAACTAGGTACTACTTAATTGTAAAAATGCACAACAACAGAATAGCAATGTTTGCATTACAAAATACCATTTGTAATAATAATGAACATTCCTGATAGTCTTGCATATATAATTTTATTAATTATTTATAAATGTAGGGGAATTAGTGGTAGCTGCAGTTAGGACAAGGATTCTTTACAGTAAGTGTCTGTGACTTGTTGGCAATAAATTTCAAAAATAGACCAGCAGTACACAATCCACTTGTTTTAAAATAATATATATTCAAAACAAGTCAAATGTATATACAAATGTTCATTACACAGTTAATCACCAAAGTAGTATCCAGAGCTTTTAATAATTGTATCTTTTCAAAGTCCACACAGGCTGGTTCAGTTACTTTAGAACACAATTGATAAGATGAATTGTTCTTCTATGCTCTGTTATTAAAATACAATCAATGATAAGTTCACTTACATTACACTGCTTGTTACCATAGTTGTATCCAGAGCTTTAAATAATTGTATCTTTTTTGTCAAAAGTTCATATAGGTTTGTTCAAGTATTTTAGAATACAATTCACAAAACAAATTATTTTTCTTTACTCTGATATTGCAATAAAGTCTGTGATACTTTCACTTTAAAATTGTCGATATATGCTCTTTATAGCTAAACTCAAAAATAAGCAGTCTAGATCTATTTGACTATATGTCTCACTAACCTACTTGAACTATATTTTGAATGTGTGTTTATAAAATAGCCTGAATGAGGCCTAGAACTTTCTACACACTCCGAGATATTATGACATAATAATACTCAATGAAAACAATGAGAAAAACTTAGATGGTTCTAGTAACATGATGCAATAATACAAAAGCACCAGTTCACAACAATTGAACTCACACACAGTTACAAAAACAAACCTGAAATGAACTATCACTTCTAAACATAACTAAATTTAAAACTCACGCTATACTTAAATTAAAACAGTAGTGTATATCTAACAATCAAATGGTTTTGTGAGTACAATTATTAGTCAATGACAAGAGCAAATGATATTGTGCCAAATCCAAAGTACCCAAACCATATGAATATGTGAAATAAAAATTTTAAATTCTTCACATTGTGTGAATTTATTGATTTTACAAGAAGGATTTGCATAAATTAAATTTAATACATAACCCTTCTTCCACATCTATAATCACATGCATTTTTGATTTTGCAAAATGAGCATTTTATTCTAGTTATAAATAGCCTGACTGATGCTTAGAGCTTTCAATACGCTCCAAGATATTATAATATCTAACATATCTTTAATCATATGCATTCTTGATTTTGCAAAATGAACATTTTATTCTAGTTTTGATATGTAATAAATGATGTACTACAATTTGTGGATATGTATTGTACATTAACAGTTTCTATGGTAAATTACATGTTTTGTCCATGATACACATTTAAAAAATTTGCATCAAGATTTTTTTATTTATAACCTGAACCCATTCATTGTGGCTGGTACATATATGGCCTCTAAATGTTGTTTTTTTCTGTTCACTACATTAACCCATTAGAGTCAGTGCTTTCTAGTAAATCCAAAAATAATCTGGATCCCAGCTCCGGTTTCTCTTGTCATACAGGCCTCTGATATCTTGAGGGGAAACTGATGCAAAGAAGACAGAAATAATACTCTTACTGTATGGCAACATATAGAGGAATGTCAATGGACAACATTACAACAAAAATTTACAATCCAACACCTTGCTCGGGAATTTTAAAGGCAAGAATCCAAATGTGTACCAGCTGCAGTGAACAGAGAAAATTCAGAGGCCATATATATGTACCAGCCGCAGTGAATGGGATAAGATTGCAATGAAATATGATGCATAAAATTAATATTCTGGTCCCCTGAGAATACATAATCTGCATCTTTATTAACAGTTTCTTGTGGAATCACTCAGGAAAGTGTCAAATGTTGGAGAATGGGAGGGGGCTTGCACCCATGGCTTTAGATTAGGATATCCAGGGAGACCACATATACGACTTCTCAGTAATAACATACTTAACCCTGAAATTACTGACTTGCTTTAAAACTGTTTATATTAAGGAATTTTGTTTATACTTGTTATAAAGCTCCTAGTAAAAAACTAATCAAAATAAAATAGGCAAAATCACCTATTTTCTATATAAAATACCAAGAATTTAGTTGGATTAATTGCAATATTAATTGTATCTTTGTTAACATTTTTTTGTATCACTTGATTGTTATTAGGAACCTTCTTACCAACAAAGTTATGGATCCACAAGCAATCTGGTGCATAAGTAGTTCAGAAGTGTTTAAAAAGTAGTATGTACCTCTGACATTTCTGTGGTTAAGTATAACTACACTTCCTTACGTGTAAGTTTATCTAAAACAATATTAGTCTAAACATTTTACACTGTGAATGCTATGTTTTTCTTTCTTTAACAAGAAGAATGTATTTTAGATAAAGGATAATTTTATGATAGAACTTTAACTTGTAGGAGTTTGGTGTGCCACCGAGTTACTTAGTTCAACGGAAAGCTGACTTTGAACAAGCCAAAGATTTTTACAGAGCTTATGTTACCAGTGAACATGAGAAAGAAAGTCTACAGCAACTCAGTGAAGAAGATAGGAACACAATTCTTCATGTATGTTTCAGAGTTTTATATATGTGAATTGTTTATAGCTTATAATTATAACCATTATCATATTGGACTAAAAAAATATGCCTAGAACTTCTGTTATAGTGATCATCAACAATTACAATGAATTACTAGATATGAATAATTAATTCTAACCACTTGTACATTATTCAAATTATATTTATATAAATGCTGTAAACCCTTTTTATCTATCCCAGTGCTGAAAATAGGTCAATATTTTATAATCTCCATCTATCCAAGAATTGCACTGTATAGAAGATGATATTTGTGACACTTTTATCATCGTATAAAATTTGAAATTTAAGTGGAAAATCATGGCCAAGAGAAATACAGATATGTTGCCATTATTAATAGACTTTATACTAAAACAAGCCAGATTTGTTTTATTCAAAATGAAACTAAAACTACTATTTTTAAAAACTAAGTGATAATATAGAGAGTAACACTAAATCGATATGTATAAGCCAACAATTAAATTAAAACCTGTAAACATTTATTTTAGTAACTGAGGCAAACTCTAAAGAAAATTAACTTCTGAGGACCTTAATGATCTCAATGTTGTTTGAAATTACAGTTAAAATAAAGCTTGTGTTGTATTATTCAGGGTTTAAAGCAGAACCTGGAAGAGCTCCACCGAACTTATCTGGGTCTTTCTGTTGTGACAGACACCATACCAAAAAAGCATCGAAAACAGCAGTTAGAAGCTGACATGAAGCAGTTAGAGAAAGACATTCAGCTGTTGGAGAAACACCATGAAATCTATATAACGAAGTCATGACACAATCATTTCAACACTGACAACATAAAAATTGTGTAAAATTAATAGATAGATAGCAAATTATAGTAAAACTTCCATGTTAAACTGTTATAGACAAAATTTGTAATATCCTAAAAAAATAGCGAAGGGTAAATAATGACTCTGGACACTCAAATTTTTAAAACGAATCATTAAAATTATTGATATAAGGAGAATTATGTGACTTGAACTTTGTATATAAAACCTGTATGTAATTGTCAATGTGTTATCACACTTGAAATTGTAAAAACAAGAAATCAAGCACATTTAAGTTGTACATTTCTTAATAAAGTAAAAGATCAGTTTGCTGCTGAAGATCAAATAAAACGTACAACTTTTGTACTTGACTTTAAAAACATATAAGAATTTACCATTTTGTTGTTCAACTTTCAAATTATAGTATCCTTCACATGTTACACAGAGAATAAGTTACTTGTTTTGTATATAGGTGTATCATGTACATACACACACAAAAACTAAAATTATAACTAGCAATTGCAAAAAAAGGAATTTTATTGTGGTGTAGGAATGATACATCTAATATATGGTAATGCCCAATATTCAAATTCTCTATTTCCTTGGCCTTAACAAACAAGATATTTCTAGCTTATTGCTTAGCTTATCACAAATCATTACACAAGTTTTCCATATAAATTTAAGTATAGAAATTGCAGCCAATCTTCTCTGAGTTTTACAGTCATTGCATTCTTTCAGTTGGACAATGAATATATAAGTGGATATACAAAGTGGGTGTAATGAACATTTTAATATGATAGTGTATGACATGCAAATGAAAATAGAAATAAATAGTATCAAAACACATATTGTTTGAAATAATATATGTATGTTAAGTTATTGAGTACTGAGCATGTGTAATATCTAAATACATAAATATGTCTTCCCTAGCAAAGTGTTTTATCCCATAAATTTTTTTGGCATATCATTTGTAACTTACAATGAAATAGACAAGTAAAGATTGGTTTACATATCTACCAGCTGAACAGCATATTTCTTAATACACATTTAAGCTAAGACTTCTAACCTGAACTTCCTCATTTACATAATTGTATGTTTTTGACACAGTTGATAAAACATATTTACAGCATTTTCAGTTTCTATCTAATCTGAAATTACACTATTTTTAGTTTAACTTAAATTTACAAAAAATTCTTATATCTTACATGCATTTCAATGAATTCAATTGTTATAGTTGTCTTATGAAAACACAAGCACTGCTTTATCATTTCTAACCTCAAATGTTTGTCAAGTGTGCTAGAAAGTCATCTTCATTCATACTGTACTGAAACATGGTCAATTTCAAAAGAAATAAGTTAAACAACAGTCATTTTTCAACTGAAAGAAAGAACAGTATGCATTAGCAGATTTTTAATAGTTGACTAAGAATAGTGTATAATATTTCAACAACAATAAATTTGTAAAAGCAGACAAACTTGCACAGAACAATTCATAGTCAGAACTATATATGTCTTTATATTAAGTACTACTGAAAATTATTTGCAAGCAAAAAAAGTTACGTGTTGAATTTTCAGGAGATAAGGAACTGAAAGAAGCAAATGTGATGAAGAAAGTAAGTAAACTTAATCTACTAGATTACCATATGAAGTGTAAGGAATTCCTTATTCTGTTGGTTACCAAGCTTTTAAACAAAACTCTTGTAAACTGTACTCTGTGTCAAAATTTCACATGTCTAGATCCTAGATTAATGTACAAAAATAGAGAACAATGTCAGGAAACTGAAGCAAGTAATTGTTGGCCTAATAACAAATAGAACATTAGATGAATCTGCATATGATGATTTTAGTAAGTTTCAGCCAAAATAGGCTGAAATTAGACAGTATACATTTCTGCACATATACCTATCTGACAAACAACATTATAACTATATCTGGGAATTTATGAAGTCTGCTCCAGGTGTTTCATAAACAGATTTCTCTTGACTGTGTATTTGAAGTTAATGTCCAAATGAACAAATATATGAAGCACACAGATTTTTGTATGATAATGTTAAGCTAGTAGATGAGATTATAAATGTATGCACGAGCAAAAAATTCACACTGTCACCTGTTAGAGGTACTTAGCCTATTTGGATGATGAAAGAAAAAGGCTGAAATTCAACCACAACAGAAAGTAGAAGAAACAATGGATCATGCAGAGAGATTGAGTACATTATATTGAAATGGTTTTGAAGCCTCATCACTTCATTAGAGTTCAAGTTATGATGTCCAGGCATGGTTTAACGACCACACATCTTGAGAATAGCCCTGCAGTGTAGTTTCCATTTCAAAAGGTTCCATCTTAAGGCTGTCAATACAAAACACCCTCCTTCCCTAAATTTTTTCCATAATCCATCAAGTGTACAAGAACAACAGTTTCCCAGCACCCTTTTCAACAGTCCAATCACACAAAAATCCATGCACTGATCTGGAAGCAACTTGTGTATATGCATACAAGTATGCAGGGGGGTTTTGAGTGGGTTCAGCCAAACCCCCTATTTTTGTGATGTAAAAATTATCCTTATATAGTTATAGCTCAGCTGCTTATGGTATTTAACGTTTTCTACATAATCTACATTCTTCTGATGAAGCATTAGCATCTTTTGTCATGAAATAAGTGCATGTCCCCAGACCCCTGTAGCATTAGCATGACTTGCATGCTGATTGTGCTTCACTCAATATGTGTTGTCTTTTGATCTCACAATTTAGAAACTCTCCTTTCAAACATTCTGTGTACAGGCCTGATATATGTATTGCCCTTCCAGACAGAGATCCTTCTTGATTATGTTGTATACTGTTAAGTGGATCATATGGATGGCCCTTGCCACTGAACTTTGTGTTCGTGGGTTTTCACCTGTTACAAGGTGCCACGCCTTGTTTACCAAATCTGGCTTATGACTTGTTTTAGGGCTCTTTCTGGATGTTCCTGGTGCCCAGAGTTGATTCATATTTCCTTTGTTTTTTCAATGCCATTAAGGATAAGGAATATCCCCATCCTGGAAATTTTACATCCCCAATATGAACATATCTTTATGTACACTACCTACAAAATGCCAAGCAATGTCAAAATATAATTCTGATACATCCCATCCTACTGCAAACTTTATATCAGCTGTGGGTGTCACATGACTTGCTCATTTGCATATTCAAATTCGTTTTAATATAATATACTCTGTAGAAGTGCTAAAGAAAGTAAAAAACCTTAAGCGACATGAATGCTTTTACAAATCTAAAGACCAAGCAAAGTTAACTGGCAAAATAAGTTATATAGCAAAATTTGTTTGTTAGTTTGAATTTTGTGCAAGACTACTCAAGGTTTGTCTGCACTAGCTGTCCCTAATTTGGAAGAAATAGACTAAAGGAAAAGCAGCTAGTTAACACCACCCACTACCAACTTTAGGATTACTCTTTACCAACAAAAAGTGGGATTGACCATCACATTATATGCCCCAATGGCTGAAAGGGTGAGCAAGTTCAATGATGATATTCAAATCTGTGATCTGCATATTGTAAGTTACCTGCACTTACCACCAGTGCAGATATAGCAAAGTCTAACACTCTTCAACAAAATTCAAAGAACAAAACTGTCTGATCTGAAGGAATCAATTAATAATATGAAATTTGTTATTGTGCTTTATATTTCCCACTTAAGGCCAATGCTTACCGATCATATGACTGTTTGTCTTGTATCTCTAATATACTTCTGTGTTCTACTATTATCTTTCAGTACATTTATTATTTGATAATGGTCAGAATTCCTTTCTATATCATCAACTTTTCTTCAATGTATTTTTTTTGCCAAAATATCTTAAAACAAAGTATATAACAATGTTTGTTTATCACCATATTCTTCAGGTAACACCTGAAACATTTCTCTAATCTGACTATATGTTATATAAATCAGTTTCCACACGTAGACACCAATTACTCTGGAGTGAAGATATACTTACTGATATTTCACATCAATTCTTCCTGTTAAACATTCCTTGTTTTATATTTCTGTAGGCTTCAACCTGATCTAAAGCATCATCTAGTTTTCAGTTTAAAAACTAATAACAGAATAAAACCTTACCATTAAATCAGGAATGATTTAATTAAGATTTTACACACATATTGAAACACTGAAAGTTTATACTTTAAGTAAAATAAAAAGATAAACATCATTCATTTGGTGTGTTGGTAGTTAGGTATAAGATCTCATTATTTAGGATGATGTACCAGGAAGTGGGTAAGTTTGGTAGGTAAACAACCTAAGTTCAGCTGATAAAACTCAATTAACTGCAACAAGTCATAAAATTTGGTTCTTCCACCATCCAGAGAAAAACAAACCTGTGTTTCATCCTCAACCTGAAGAGATAGAGAGAAAGAAAGAAAAAACAACAATAACCTTTATTAGCTTTTACTTTAAGGTGATTGTGCTGGAATTCTAAACATTCATGTATGGCATGGCCACAATATAGTATGCTTTTCCACATATAATTTGCATAATAATAATAATTTACTTAAATTACTTTTAATTGAGTAAGAATAAGTATAAATTTTTGTAGCTAGAAATTAATTATCAGTTCCTAATTATCTTCACCACTACAAATTATAGCATTTAAAAATAACCAAAATGATGACTAAGATATATCTTATGGAAGTAAAATAATGGACCCTACTAATAGGTACTGTACTATAATAACATTGCTATACATACTACTGCAACATTAAATAAACATGAAAATTAACATATAGATGGTTTATTAGTGTAATAACAAAGGACAATACACAGAGGATATTGTTCAAACATTTTGACTTTGAAAATTTCACTTTGCGCTATTTTCACAGGCTCCTCATGAGCCAATGGGGGACATTTTTTTTGAAAAGTAAGAAACCTATCCAATCTGATTTTTCTTAATTTGAAGTGAAATTTTTTGGACATTTCTATTAGGTAAAAAAAACGGCATTTCCTGCACTCTTTTAGTATTGGGGCTGCAAAAAGTGATTTGAAGTGGTAAAGTGACTGTAATCCAACAGCACATCACAAGCTTAAAGGCCAAACACAAGAAGCATGGAAGTCTCCAAATGACACACAGAGGTATTCAGGAACCGTTTAGAACCACCTTGGTAGATATTGTGCAGCGAGCCAAGTACAATATTATGCCTGTAACTGCTTTCAAAGTGTTCCTGTCTGCTCATCCTACTGCTGACTATCGTGATGCTTCGACCTTCCCTACCGAATCACAGGTGAAATTGTTCATATCTCAATTGAAAGCTAAACATAAAAAGGTGATAGCAGAAGCATAAAAGGTTCGCTATTGCTTAATTAATGGTGCTGAGAATGTGGCTTTATTGATATATAGTGAATTTACTCCCAACAGGTAGACCTTAGTACTAGCTAGTATGGAGACTTGAAAATGCTGTATTTCACTTAAAAATTTATCAATTAACAAACGAAAAATTGTCTTGAAGTTGTCTCAAAAAGATATGTCAAAAACCACCCTCTTCGGGAGTTTAGATGGAACTTACTTTTAATATTCAACAAATTGTTGTGTAAAGACACCCCTTGGCTCCTGAGGGTTGTGCTAAATATTTCATACAATAATTATTGTTTTTTAAATGATAATCTGTATGTATCTGTCTGTCTGTCTCTTGGCCATGCAATTATGTAACTTAAGTAGTTTGGCTTCCTGTCAATTAGATTGTCTACGATTGATTGAAAATTAAAGATATATTTGGACTAAAATGTACAAAATATTGCACCTTTTTCACAATTTGAAAACATATCTTTGTTAAATCATCGAGTTATACCAGAAAGGATGTAAATATACTTTTGTAGACATTTTATAGAACATATTAAAAGGTTACCAAAGTTTTTAAAAAGGTCTAATGTTGGGTCATAGAATAATATTAGAAGATTATTTATTGATAGTAATAAGTGCATTAAGGTTTAGCTCTAACTGAACTAAAGCAAAAAACATACACAAGTTACAGTGTTAATTTATATCTTTATCAAATATAAGCCATACTTAATAAAAGCTTAACTAATGTTAGGACTAAAACAAGTGGACTTTTAGATTTCAGTGTCTGTGATTAGAATTATTTTGTATTACTCTAGAAATCCTGTATTTAAAGAAGTTCTGTTGCAATAAAGATACTAATTTGGATGCTAATGTTTTGCGGGTCTCTGCTAGTATTCAAATATAATGTGTATACTAAAAAAAGATTTTAATTTTATACTTTGTTTTTTGAGGAGTGCTATGATTAATATAAAATGTAAAATAATATATTACCAAATCACAGTATAATTACTTTCAGAAATATTTAATATCTTTTACTTCTGCTTCTTAACAATCAAAATAACAAAATCATATACATTGCATGTACATTTAGACACAAAAGACAAACTTATGCTGAAGTTAATTTATTGATACTTACAGGCACAATCTGTGTGTGGTAAACCTTTTGGTTATACATGTACGATAGAACAAATGTGTTAGGATTTCTCCTGCTGTCTCTTACCAGGAACACCCTAATTAAGAAAATATTTTTAATAAAAGGGGTGTGATTTCTCTCATAAAACTAAATAGTGCCATATATATAGTGATGGCCTAGCTATCATAAATCAGTTTTTTTAGAAATATGAAATATAAAACAAGATATGCATATAATTCTGATTTAAGTTTGATTTAAACTACTACTCAGTTTTAAGTTGATTTTTTGTAAATATTAAAATATGATAATCATACATTATCATTTTTTAGTTCTTAAACAAAAAATCATTTTTGTTTTAAGTAAAAAAGTATAATTATACACACCAGAAAACCAAGAAGAACTCGCACAGCCTTATCTACAATACTTTATGGTAGAAAAAAAAACAAAAAAAGATTGAAATTCCATTTTTTCATGAAACTTGCACTGGGTGATTTATACACGTTTTATACTTAACCTGTATGCACTTTGCTAATTGTCAAATAAAAATCTCTCACCCATCCACTGTTCCATACTTAGACAGCAATTGTGCTGTATCTTCTCTTGACATGTCACTATAGAACCAAGGTTGTACTATGTGGATACCAAACTTGTGGCTTCCCTGATGATAGGACTGAATACCATGAAGAACAGGTAATCTCCTCTGTAACAAAATTTACTTCTCCCTCATTGATGTTTATAAAAGTCAGTTCCATATAAGAAAAACAAAACAAGTAGTGATAAACTAGATTTTGTTTCATTTTTGGCCTTTGCCAGTCTCAATACCTCTATAACTGCTAGCCACTGAATCTTCAGCTATAGACAAATATTCTCTTACAAATCAAAAAAGTACATGTAAAAGATACTGAGACAGCATAAGAGAATAATTTGAATACCAAATTAAACATATTTCAAACTACTGCACAATTTCATTTTAAGAATCGCATCTAGATTGTAATGTTGATAATAATAAAAGCAAAGTATTTGTAAACACTGATATATATGATAACAGAAGGGAGAAGTGACAAAGTCTGCATAAACATCAAGACACACGGTAGTGTGTTGTGCGGCTAAAAAAACCTGCTGCAGGACACACTGTGTGTTATTAACAGGAGTGATAATTTAGCAATTTTCCACCTTCTGTATCTCTGACTGTGGTTATCCAAACTATCATATAGTTTCAGTGGATATGCTCTGTTGGACTCTTCACATACCAAATTTAAAGGCAATCCATTAAGAAATACCTCAGATATAACATCTCCAATTTTGATTGAGTTTCTTCCTTTTTTTCTTTTCTCTCATACTAAAAGTGCGGAAGTTTTATTTGATAGTAAAACATACTTAACTTTTATGGATTTTTTTTTTTAATTTGGTACACTGATAGATCTTTTCAACATTTAATTAGGAGTCTCATTTGGTGTAAGTGTAAGCCATAAGTGCACAGTTATTCAACAAAACCTGCTCAAATTTGATGATAATTTTTTTACACACCTATGCAAAAAATCATGTGAGCTATCAATCTGACATATTTACTACAGCTTCAACTAAAAGTGGACTGTTTTGGTTTTTTGTCATTTGGGTTATAGATGGCTGATTTAGAGCAGCAAAACTATAAGGTGAAAGGACGTGCAAATACATAAGTATTGATTAGGCCAAGCAAACTACATTAGCAGTTTCTTGCTCAAGTTTTCAAAAGAATTGTATGGGGAGACGGTTATTATTCATTGCCAACTTTTAAGCACAGGTTTGCTAAATTTTATGAAATTACCCTAATTAAAGAACTTTTAGTGTCACGTGATATTAACTTAAGCAATTAGCATAAATAATGATACTTGATACAGCTGTACCAATTGCATGGGGGTGATGACAATAAACTGTTAACCTAAATTCCATGATGTTACTATAAAGGAAGCTATTAACACTGTTTTAGAGAGGAAAACTATCACTATATATATTTTAAAGAATCTGGTTGGTTCTATAAAGTAAGATTTGTTCCAAATAATAGGGTTGCAATCCTAAAGCTAATGTGGGTTACTATCGAGTGTCACTTTCTTACTTGCTGTGGTTTGTTGATGTGTATTGACAAAAAGTCATGATATCTAATCAAAAACACCTTAGGTGTGAAAAAAGGTGTGACCAAAAAAGGTCTGAGTGTGCGATTTAAAGAAATGATATCAAAATTGGTGGTCAAACTGATAGCTACACTTATAGCATTGATAAGTATTTTACAGCAAATATTCATTCATTTGTTAGCTAGGCCGTGTTTTACCCACCATCATGCCCACAACATGAAATCCTGGGTGTTTAGTATTATAAGCCTTCACACTTGCCTTTGAGCCACGAGAATACATGCAGTAATGAAAGGAAGCTGGTATCAATAGTAATAATTACTTATGTATGCCTTTTTCTGATGGATATAATAATGAAAGAAAAAAGCAAATGTACATAGTGCTTGTAGAAGATAATATAATGAAACATGTAAAAGACAAAATAATGAAGAATACCCACAAGATGTAACAAAGAAAAGATAATGTGAAGAATTTAGAGTAAAAGATAATATTAAAATGCATGTTTAGTGGATTATGTGGAGAATAATATGTAAATCATTTTGGTTTTGATCTACCTAAATTTGAATTTTTTTTCTCAATCTGTGTATCTCAATTTATTCCATCTATATACAACTAAAACTCAGATTGTTTGTTTGCTTGTCTGTAATTGAATACAGCAAAAACGGTGCACAATATTTGTAATGAAATGAGAATAGAAACAGGATAAAACAAGTTTCGTTAAAATCGGGCCACAGGTTACTGAGGGTCACTTTTAAGAAAATTTCTAGATGAATTTAGGTACGCTAGATGGCGCCACATATCGGTTTATCTATCTATCTATTCGTTTTTCACCTGATGAATCACTTTAAAATATCTTTTATACAACAATATACGCACAATGGAAATTAAATGATGAGATGAAAATGTGTTACAATGGCACATACAAAGAACAACAATAAAATGGACCTACAATATCATTGACTACTTGCAAATAGTAACTATGGAAACAAAATAATAAAATAAAAATCAAGTCGAGAACAACAACAAAATTTTATAAACGAAATCCTCTCGCCAAGCATTGGCTATTATATTATTTCCCTGTCAATGTTCCCATCTTCATTAAAAGGCCTAAGATGACAAACACAAGATCATGAGGAATCTATCTATATACTACTATAACTCTGAGATTGTTTGTTTGCTTATTTTCTCAGTCAAAAAATCATTCACACTACCGTTCGCGCTCTTTACAAAACTTCTTACTTCACTTATTTGAAAAATGAAATGGTCTTTCCTTTTACTCCCGATCAACAATCAAATATATTTTCTTGAATAACACAAATGGATTGAAATATTTAATTAAATTATCTCAAATAAACCTTCATTTCAGTGCAATATTGAAATTAGCTTGAATTCTTCATAACCTCTGAATAGTGGTTGACCCAACGTGTCACGATGGTCTAGTATACTACTAAAACTCTTAGATTGTTTGTTTGCTTACTTTCTCAGTTAAAAAATCATTCACAGTACCATTCACGCTCTTTACAAAACTTCTTCGTTCAGATCTATTTCCTTGTCAATGTTCCCATCTTCATTAAAAGGTGTAAGATGACAAAAACAAGATTTTGAAGAATTTCTCAACAATATGGTAGGTAATTCGAAGAAAAAAATAAAGTGTTACTGTTTCTTATTTGTAGAAGGTTTAAGAGGAAAGACTACAACATAATTAACTAATTCATCACATTACCTGAAAACTCTGACTTCACTTTTTGAAAAATGAAATGGTCTTTACTTTTACTCCCGATCAACAATCAGATATATTTTCTTGAATTATGAATAACATGAATGGATTGAAATATTTAATTAAATTTTCTCAAAATAAACCTTCATTTCGGTGCAAGATTGAAATTAGCTTGAATTCTTCATAACCTTTGAATAGTGGGTGATCCAACGAGTCATGGGTTGTCTAGTATCCTACTAAAGTTGAAATTGAATTTGAAACTACTAATTTTGTAAAATGTCATCAGATTTTGAGAAGGGCTAAACACATGGATCACATAAAAAACACATATACACATATATATAAATACAACTATCTGTAATAATTAACATAATTATGAGCCCTCACCTTCCACTCATGAGTTTTAGCTGTTGCAATGGCTTTAGCTTCTTCAGGACTGTCTACAAGTCTATCAAACTTTCTAGTTAAGTCCTTGGCCACGGTTTTCACTGACGTAGAATACTATGAAACAGTACACATTTTATTTAAAATTAATATATGTGTCACCAATATAAATTTTTCGGCTGTGGCCTCCAAGTTAAAAATATTGCAACAGAAACAACAAAGTTAAGTGTCACTGGCACTAAAGAAAAAAGAGAGAGAACAAATAGTTTGTCAGAAAGTTTATTATTCAGTAGTTTTGAGCTACAAGTAATATCAACATAAAATATTTTAAGTTTTATTTCCCTATTTCATTAAAATTCTGTGTATTTACAACTCTTAACATTATACCCCTAGTGAAACTTTTACAAAATTAATAAATGTTTTGGGCCCACAGTTGTAAGAGCTATACTAGAAATTAGTTGAAAATGTAGTTACAGATTTGAGGAAAAACAAGACAATTTTATGTTTCACAAATACATCATTTATTCATGACTACGTTTTTGCCAGTAAAGCATCATCAGGTGAAACTATGGTAATGAATAAATGATGTACAATTTTCCTGCTTTTCCTCAATTCTGTAATTATGGAGTTTCACCAAGTACCAACGGTTTCATATATCAGTTATTAAAAATGTAGTGTTTATTTTATGTTGTAGTGTAAAAGAAACATTTTATTAGAACAATACTCACTATATACATATATGTATATATATATATATATCCAATATAACAATCATATTAGAACCTAAAGTACAGTTACCAAAAGTCTATAATAGAATAATGTACTGTTACATCACTCACCGATAACAATATGCCTTCATTTGTCTCTATGTTGTTACTGAAAGTGCTGTCACCATACCTTGTCCTGAGTTCTCTGTAGTTTTCTTGCAGCTTCTTACCATACTGTGTTAATGGCAAAACAGTAGCAGACATTCTACAACCACAGTTACATTCTTAATCATTAAAATTATCTCAGGCCATATTTGTAAGTTTTATAAATTATTTATCAACCAATGATAACTAGCTCTGAACTTACTCTTACGAACCATTGTTTTAGAATATGCATACTCAATATATTCTAATAAACTGTTTTATTAAACTTGTGTATGTACAAGTCTTCAACGTGTAATCTATTATTGAAAAGAAAGTCTAACTTATTTGTTAAAGCAGTATTTACTTAGCAAATAATTTCACTTTTAATGTCATCATTGTCCTTTTTTTCTGTGTGACATAATTTTTATAAATGATAATTTTTAATACTAAGTGTTACTGCTCTATGAAATTTGATACATAAATTCTTCATCAATCCTTCAGAATTTTATCAATCATTTCACACTCACTTAATATTTGTATTTGTATTTGTCTTAAGTAAAAACAGTTATTTGCTGCAATATATGGTTTCTAATAAATTTTACACTGTCTTATACACTAGTCTTTAGCTACAAGTTAACATTTGATAAAAGTGGACTTATTAATTGTTAATTGGATTGTTACCATGAAAAATTAGCCATGAATTATACTAGCAAAAATAAATTTGAGAAGTTAACTTGTTTCCATGAGCTTCCCATGTACATAACTATTTTTTATTTATTTTTTAAAATTTAAGCACAAGACTACACAATGGGCTCTCTGTGCTCTGCCAACCATGGGTATCAAAACCCGGCTTCTAGCATTGTTAGTCCACAGACATACCACTGTGCCACTGGGGGCACATAACTATTATATATTTGTGTGCAACAATTAGGATAAAACAATTTTGTAGTTATCAAGTGATTTTAATTAATGAAAGTGACAAATTTTATTTATAATTCTTTCATCAAAAACTGCATTACACTCCTTAATAAATAATAATTCTTAAAATCTTGGACTAGTGTAGACTGAAAATGAACCTGTACAATTACCTTTGCCACTCTTAAAGCAACTATCCAACAATATCGCTGATGTTGGTTGTCACAGCAAAACCATTTCAAGTCACTTTTTGTTCTTACTACTCTTTGTTTTGGCTAAAAGTAAATAGAAGATTTGCTAAAATATTCTAATGGTTTTTAAGTTCATATACAAATCTAAAGTTGAGGAAAACTCTCTATATCTAACTTACTTGTTACTATTATCACATTTAGACCTTTACACAAAAAATAATGAAAATGTTGAAACTGCACACCCTGCAATTTTATTTATTTACTTTCATTTCATATCCAACATCAAATGATCTTTCAGGAAGCAACTATAAGATACATGCAAAATTATTGTCATAGAGCAATTGGTGAGTTAATTTACTAAGCAACTACACTGACTAAGAACCTTATTAGGAACCCCCACCCACCTATACATATATGCAATTTTGCAGATCTTTCCATTTGCGTACATTGAGCGACCTTGAGATGAATTTGGACATCAATTTTTTACAATAATCTTCTTAAAACATAAGGAAAATATGCTGCTGATAAAGCAGTGAGTCGGATGATTACTTGAGCTACCCTGTCATACAATGGATCAAGATCTCCCTAACTTTTAAAAGGACTTGATAATGGTTGTTCATTAACAATTAAGTTATTAGAGTCTAAAAACTGAAAACCAAAGGGTACTAAGAAAATATGGTTGTCAACTAATGATGATTGACTAGGGTAAAAGAAAATTTGATAGGTTAATAAACATTAACAGATACCATGCTTTATTGCAAATGATTGATTCTTTCAAAAGTGGTCAGAAGTTTATTACCCCCAATTATAATGTATGCAAAAGACATTACAAAAACTTTCAGATGGCAACTGACAACCAGTCTATAAACAGCTTATCTCAGATGCATATAGGAATATACAGCTTCAATTTATGTTTTGTGAGAAAACATAGGTGATGATGATGAATGACTGGAACTAGATGACATTTTATGATTAGTCACATTTCATTTTTTTCTGTGGTGACAGTAAAGTAAAGAGAAAACCCTAAAAAGGCACTTGTTCCAACTCCTAGAAAAGGAGAAGAAAACGTTCTCCTAGAAAGAATTTAGTTCTTTGAAATCTTTAGAAGGATAAATATCATACAGAATGTATCTAAATATTGTTGATATATTCTGTAATGTCATTGCAACTTAATGGTAAATTAATGTAGAACACCAAGAAAATAACCAAATGAAGTGACAAGGTATACCTTGTATATTGTAAGTATATAGGCTTATCATATATTGTTTACTTTGTGAATAAAAATGGGAATATTATAATACAATAAATGAAAACAAACTGAAAACACTATTTATCCCTAAAAGTGCATATGAAAACAAGGACATTTTGAGAATAATTTTATGTGGCATTTGAATGAGAGAAACAGTATCTTATACAATGTAAGTGACACTTCACAAGCACAGTGCTTTGTAAATTCGTACAAGTAATGCTGTTTATCTAAATTAATATATATGATAAGCGAAATTCGTTGTCAATACTGTATATTCCAGTAAATGTATATTGCAAGAACAACATTTAAATACACACAAAAGACATTGTGTATCCAAGTAGATATATTTAATAAGTATTTGGTATTTTGTAAGACTGTTGTTTTATTGAGCAATTTCCTATAATTGTGGAAGTGAAGAAATTACAAGCATAGGAGATTTATCACATCATTTCATAATTGCATAATTTCAAAGCATGTCATAAATGCATTGACCTAATCTCTATCAAATGTCAAAATTTTCTCCAGGTGCATTCATATGTTATAAGGTTTAATAAATGCAGAACATGTTCAGGAAGATTTTAATACATCTATAATATCTGTATGAGAGTTTTTATAAGCAAGAAATTAATATGACTTACATAGAAATATTTATTATTTATTTACATATATATACCTACAATTACATTGATCACAAGTACAGTTTGAAAATGCAATGGTGCAAACCTGTGTACCTACTAATTTATATTCAATGGCAATAGCTATACAAAAAAAAAATGTTTTTAATAAAATTATTTTTTTCTTTGCATCAATTTTACTTCAAACGTCATTACAAATGAATTAACATATTGATGAAGAAATAAAAAGTCTTTTTTTAAGATTTATTTTTTCTGAAACCATTCATAATTATATTTTCCAAAGCATATGAATACATCATGACTTATTCTTTTAACTTCAGATTTAAACATTTTGACTAGATCGCTCATTATTAAATTCTTTATGTTTTTGTTTTGTTTTTACTTTGAAAAATAAGAAATTCACTGAAATGTTAACATTTTCTTCACCTGCAAATGTATTTCCAATTGATACTTACCTCTCTTCATACAGTAGCTATTACTCATGCATCTACCCTTGAGATTTTTCACATGCCTTTAACCTTGAATTATCTCCCACTTAAATCACCTGTTTCAACATGAATTGTGCTAGCAGATGATGTAATAATCATGCAGCCACAGTCCTCCACCAATAGGAGGGTGACACATCCGCCATGTGCAGTATGTCTCAGTAAGCACTTGCATTCAAAACTCATTTTTAGACAAGGCAAGAATAATGTGCACCAATAGTGGGGAGAAATGGTGAGAAGGTGTACAGAGAGGTAAGTATCTATTGGAAATGTATTTTCAGGTAAGGAAAATGTTAATTTCTGAAATGATCTTTCCTCTTCACCTGACTTTAGTATCCATGCTCAATCTTCTTGTCTCAGCACTGTTCCCACTTTTTTCTGCTTCATCCTCTTTGTTTCTATGATTCCTTGAACATGGCTTTTATGGTCACTTCTCTTCCACCTTCTTGGATCTTCAATCCCTAGAATCCCTTCTTCCTGCTTTAGAGTTGACACTCTGTCTCCAGTATCCCATACTATGGCTCACTTCTCCCATCTTTGCTTTCCACTTGCTCTATCCCTTTGCTGTCTGTTTTCTTCTTATTTCCTACCTGAAGCCCTTCATTGGGATCCAGATAGTTTTTCTGGTGTATCTTCAGTTAGTATTCTTCCCTACTTAGGACAGGGTCTCATCACTGGTGTGCTCCTCAAATGTTTTCTGAGTAGTTGAGATCAATTCAGATGTGACATCCTTTTCTCTGTCTTTCACTTTCCTCAATTCTCTCTATGTATCTTACTAATTTGCCATGGGGTCTTTTTAGTGTTCCTTTCCTCTTGGAGTCTCAAGTGGAAGCTGCTTACTGTCAGTCTTCTTTAACTTCTTTACTCTCCCATCTTGCCCGTTTTTGTGCACCTTCTCATGTTCCTTGGCCAATATATTCCCCCACCCACCCACCCCAGAAAATGGGGAACATAATTCTTTCTTTATTCATTCTGCATATGTATATGAATTTTTTATTCAATTCACAATTTCACACTACTTCCCTCCCCAGAAAACTTTGCCTCTCCCTGGAAAAATTTCTGCTGACACCCATGCCTGCCATTTTTAATATCAGGAATATGGACTAAATGAAGAGGTGTGCAAGATGTGGAGATTGCATGTTTTAAGTGAATATCTTCTAAATCAAGATGTTTTTTTTTCTTTTCAGCAGTTAAAAGACCAGAAATTTGAAAAGATTTAACATGAACAAGAAAGGAAAGTTTAAAAGATAAAGAATGTAATAAGTATATATAAGTTTCATGCTTGAATGTATTGCCAGGTCACACAGTTCAGAATGATAAATGAGTCTTTGAAGTAATTTGCATAAGTATTAACTATTAAGACAGAAGTGATTATGAAAAATAAAAAGATTTCTATTTATACATAGTTAGTATTTGTAAAAAATAAAAAAGCTAAGCCTTACCGAATGATGGGTGCAAATAACCAGTAAAGGTAAAAGCTCTTATTCATTAGCTCCATTTTGAAATGCAAAATTTTTTAGAGTGAGCTACCAATGAATAGGTTTATTAAAGGTTGTAATAAATGGCTTGTATGTTAGCAATGGCAAACTGAATAGCACATTAAAATTTGTATCTGCAGGAGAACTTCAGCATGATCAGTCATTATAATATTAGGAAACAATAGGCCTAAAATTTGTGATACAAATCACATAAACTACAAATGTTTTTTTTCCTCATTCCGCTTAATTTGTTCATTCCAGATTTACAATCAGAGGTATGTTAAAATAACATTTTAGATCTATCTTATGTCTCCCAAAAGACAAATTCAAAGGAATGTGAAAAAATTCTGCAGTTTAAGTCATTTGTATCCCAAATTTTAGACTAATTTTTTTTAATGTTTCACCAGCTTTCTGAATTTAAATTATAAATCTTAGGAAACAATTTGTCCACATGAGACTAAAACTCAAAACCAATCAGCAACTTTATAATCCATAAGAATGGAGATCAAGAAAGGAATTAACACTAGTGTGAAAAAATAGAATGAAAAGCCTTAAAGCTAATAAATTGAACTGATACTGAATTTCCTATAGTACAAAAACAATACCATTATACTTTTTACTATTCGTACTTATGTACTACTACATTTCAAACTTAAATATTTTGAATGAATAATATATTAAACAAACAACTCCATATACCTTTATGCAGAAATAAAAAGCAGTTGGGGCTTTGCAGCATACTCCATCTATTGGCATATAAATATCAAAATTCTGAAGATCTACAAATGGATGTAACTGTTGTGGCTTCTAGAAAGTAGAATAGTTCAAGATGGTTAAATGACAAAAAAAGATATAGTAGACTGGAACTAAACATGCCAAATACCAAAATATAGAAACAGAATCAATCAAAAAATAAATATATATAATGATGGCAAATAAAAATTATGCATAGAAAATAATAACTAAAAAACTGTTATACTTCCTATAGATCACTTTTGACAGTTCATCTAGCTTTTCCTGTATAAAAAGTGCCACCTTACAAATTAAGTGCAAATCAAATAAATAAGAAGCACATGAGTGACAGTTAACATTATGTAATAGTTCAATATTCTTCACATTTTTATGAATAGGTTACTTAAACTTCCAAATATTAGAAAACCGATATCAGGTTTGAATACAAGCAAAATACATTGGCTTACCACATAAAACTACAACTGGTGATTTCAGAAAAAGGTTACCAAATGTAGTCTCTATGGACTTTTTTTTTTTATTAGCACTAAAAATACAAGTGATGCAATGTTATTCTTTCAACACTGTCAAAGAAAATTATAATTAACAGCTTTAGTTCAGTGAAGTTTGTTGAATTTGTGGCATAAGATGGTACCACCTTAGTTAATATGTAATTTTTTTTCAAAGTTTTTTTTTTTTTTCAGTTCAGTTTAGATGTAGAAAATCACTTGTATAAACAACTTCACCTCTCCTTGTTTTGGCTGCACATGGGACTAGGATCCATTAATGTCACTGAACATGTTCTCTTGCAGAAAGACAGCTGTGACTTTATTTGCATTGTCCTAGAATAGCTGTCTCTCCTGTTGGCAAATCATGTATTGACCTGGAGTTCCCCCCTAACTCAAACGTGAATAGTTCCAGGTCTCATGTACAAGTTGAATGCTATTATATTTTGGTATTCAAAAACAGGCTCTCCCTTGTTAGGCAGAGATTTTGTGGAAATTTTGCTTAACTTTAGATTGTAAGACTTAAATTTTTTTTTTCGATAGCTTGTTCTACTTGAGATTTGCTTCAAATTTGCTTAGTTTATCATTGTCGGGGTCATTTTTATTTGGATTTTAACTTCCATTTTCTGAACTGATGAGGGAGAACCAGTAAAGGTTTCTTTTTACATTCTCTCTTACCAGTTCCACAAATCCACTGCAAGCTTGCCCTTGTTTGGTTTTATTATATTGTGTTTGTACTCTGATTGTGTTTCTGTGATTAAAGATAGTTATTTTTTGCATTTTGTGTGCAGAATCCTTCTTATTGGCAAACTCAGAAAGAGTTCTTAAAGTAAAAATTAATTCTCTACAACATAGTAACATGATATTCAGGGAACCTCCTGTTAAGCAGACCCTAAATATCGCTCTAAGGAAAATATATGTAGCAAAATTACCACAAATTTATCCTATTCTTAGGAGAAAAAAGTATGTTCAACCCTGTAATCTTGACATGAAACAGAATTAAGTGTTTGATGGAATACATCTTCTAATAATGACATGATTATCAAATGGGAATTACTACTCTGTCCTACCCATGTTCAGTGAAAGTAACCAATTGCTTTTAAGAAATTTGACAACCACACACTAAAGTAAACTGATGTTTTATATTATTAAAAAAATTATCTAAATTCTACATAGAGAAAATGTTTGCCCAATTAAGAAACTTACACCAACAAAGAACTTGGTTTTCATGCCATCAGCTTGTATGAATGTTTTTAGAACATTAAAACATTCTTCCTTAAGAAATTCATGTAACATTTCTAAAACCAAGTAATTTACTTTAGTTTCTGTAGTCTCAAATAATTAATTTGTATAATAAGCTGAACAAAACAACTGAATATCTTTGAAAATCTTTTATGCTAATGAAATTAATAATGTAGCTGCATGAACAATTATTACATTTTTCCCTCACAAGTAATTTTGTGCTTGTTTATTGTTAAGCAAAAAGCTACACAGTAGATTATCCGTATTCTGCCCACCACAAGTATTGAAACCCCAACTTTTAGCATCATAAGCCCTTAAACTTACTGCTGAATCATTGATGGGCCTCACAGGTACTCATAAAAAGGGGTAATTATACATTTTATGAAAAAAAAAACATTGATTAATTTTATTTTAAAATAAACAGATTTGTAAAACAAGTAGAGTGTAGAATACATTCTAACATATATTCAACTTTACAAATAAATAATGTTACCAGCATATATACTCATTAAGGATTAAACCTCTTTATTAGTATTTAATACATTTAATGATACATGATTATATCACCTTAATTACTAGACTGTTTGGGAAACATTGGCTGTACAAAAATAGTTTATATAGGTATTCTGTGTTGAATAAAATGTAGCACCCCTCTTTTCTAAAAACAAGGTAGACCAATATTATTACAACTTTTGATTTTCTACCTAAGTAACAAATATCACCTTTAATTATTAATATAAATTCAAATTAAATAACTTTTGGCCTCATTTTAATAGCTTAAATTGTTTGTTTCCTTTGAATTTTGTTAATGCTAATCTTAACCAGCTTTTCCTCTAAGTCAGTTGCAATCTGTTTGTTATAGAGATGTATATACCTAGACAAAGTTTGTTTGTTTCAGAAGTCCGCACAAAGCTGCACAAGAAATATCTGCTCTCAACGTCTCTAATTTTGAACTAATAAATATAGAGGGAAAACAGTTAGTCAACAACACCCACTATCAACTCTTTGCTACTCTAACTGAATAGGGGAATTTAACCATCACTCTTATAATGCCCCCAGTGGCTTTAATGGCATGTCACAAACCCCATAGCAAAATTCTAATATAGCTCCTATTCCCTTATTTTACAACTCATATAAGAAACAAGACAAGAAAAATTATATCATAAAGGGATAATAGTTTCTTAGCAAATATAAACCAATAATTTGGAGTAGGCAGAATTTTATAGTTTATATTGTTTATTGTCAGGGTTCCTCAGATATAAGTACGAAGGAACATTTCAACATTTTTTTAACCTCTATTTACAAAATACATAGAACGTATTATAAAATATCAATTGTAAAATATTTTTTAGTTAAAAATTGTTGAAACAGAGAGTTATTATTTTTAATAAAGTTTTAAAATTTGATATGTAGATTTGCACTCAAAACTTCAAGGGTGCTTGCTGGTCATGATAGGGTTAATGGCATAACTTTACAGCCCCTATGATTCTCGGGTCCCCGTAGCTATGGCATTGTAGATATGTATACCACTGAATGCACCCTTGGCCCCAAATGAAGATCTTGGTTTTACAGTAATGAGGCATGAACCATGAACTCTCAGATCCATAGTTCACAATGCTAACCACAACATCCAGCATTCACACCATCGTTGAATGTCTTAATTCAAATGTGGCCACAACAATTACCATCAAATATCAGCACAAGTTTGTGCTCAAAGCCCTTTGGACCACTAACTGTAAAACAGATGGTGAGCCATTCCTTGGTGATTTGCAACAATGATACAGCACACCTTCTTGCACTTTTAACTACTTGTGCTGTATTCCTTAATCTCAGTCAGATGCATTTCATCTTGCTACAGGGCAAATGTCACCCATACTAAGTATGGGTCCTGCAATTGCTTTTCCTGGAGCTTCAGAAGTATTAATTGTGGCCTCCACCCCATATTGGAACCTCCTATTGTATAATCTGTAGTTATAGAAGAAATGGTCTTAACTCCCACATGGGTCCAGGATCCTGATATTCAATAAACAGATAAGGACTCATCATTCTGCGAGATATACCACTGGCCTTTCCATGTTGTGGGCCTGGGCAATAATGTATGATTATATGATACACATACAACACTGTTATCCAGTGTGCTATCATCCCTTCTGGGTTTTTAAAGTTCATCAGCCATTTCAATGATGCACAGATTAACAGCTAGCATGGATAAAAGAAACTACAGCCAGAATATATAATATTCTAGAATAGCCTTCTTCAGATGGACTTGATTTTTCAAAAATGACAGGAATTGGACTGTATAGTCCCTGCCCCTACTAAAAAGGGCTTCCAACCCAATTTTTTACTATAAAATCAGATTCAATAAAGTTTATTTAAAAATGGAATTAATTCCTAAATTCAAAAACTTCAAAATTAATATCAGAATAATTCCACTGTCTTATTAATAGACAATATGATTTAAACTTAATACTTGGAATGCGTGTTTGGATCTCTCTGTCTTGTCTGGACTCTTCACCTCTACTCATCATCAACAGCCACAACATCTTTACACACCACCAACAACCACTGGAAAAGAAGATTTTCATCATGCCTTCTCTGACTTCTTCAAAGCTTTCTCTCAAAAACTTCCTGTCAACGTTTCTAAACGTGATTGTAGTCACTGTAGCTAATTTTTCTCATGCACAGGGTTTCAGGGAAACAAACGTTCCCGAGCACCCCTGTTGGGAAGAGCAGGCAACTATTACGTTGTTTTCTCTTCCTTTAAACAAAATTCCTGCCATGGTTAGTTGTTGTTTTTCTTTCAGTGATGCATGGTCCATTTGAACAGTGAGCTTTTCTACGATACATGTAATATAAGAAATGTTTCACAAATATAACAACTGCCAAAGTTCTTTCTTCATCGTGCAGTATCAGCATTCCAATACTATGTGTGTGTATAACTAGCATACATGATCACTTATTCTACTCTGTCCTGCAACTGTGACAACACTGCTCTGATTCCACTATCACTGATGTTGGTGTCCAACACAAACTCCCAATCCTGCAGTTATGAATATGCCAACACTGGGGCTTCTACCAGAAACTGGAATGCTTGCTGGCTCTCCTTATTCAATCTGAAATGCATTTCACCTTCAGTAAGAGCCAACACAGGTGAGGAAATCTTAGAACAGATTATCACAAACTGTCAGTAATACAATGTGAAAGCAAGGAAATGTCATATTTCTAGTTTGGTCACAGATTGAAACCAATCTCACACAACTGCTATTTGAACAGGAACCATGAATATTCCTTCTCTACCCACAATATGGCTGAGAGATTCTACCTTTATAC